AAGAAAGCATTACAGCTGAGATTTTGTGGTTATCTTGGAGGGAGAAGGGATAGCACTCCCACAATTCAATACCCTACTCAAGACATTTGTAAATTAGTACACTTCTCCAAAATAATATATGCATATTGAAATTCCCTGTTTTTAAAGAGGAAAATTAGTTTTATCTCAACACTGTACACATATCCAGGCAGAGTACCAAAAGCATTCCCTATTTTAGACCACTGGGGGCATAAGTATCTAAATCTTGATAACTGTCCATTAACAATCAGCCACCTAAATTAATAATAAATGATGAGCACTCTTTGCAGACCCACACACAAACTCAGAACTGTTACAGAGACCAAGTTAAGTAACATTTTAGTGTTCCTTTTATCCCTTTGACAGCAGAGTTGAAGGAAGAAAGCCTTAAGCAGAAAGTAAAACCACTTTTTTTTAACTAAGGGTTGTTCCATGCTTTAAAAAATGCACTGAAATGACTGACTGACTGATTGACTGAGTGATATGACTAACTGACTGACTGACTGACTGACTGATCTATATAGGCAGACAGCCAGACAGATTAACTGACTGACTGATTGGTTGAATACATGCATGCCTGCATGGCTATTCAACTTGTAATGCCTGTTTCATTCATTTCAGAGAATGTAGAAAATGAGAGGAAAAAAGGTATTTTTTGAAGATCCCAATACTCCAATGTCCCAACCAAGGATAACATATGATGGAGTTCCTTTTATCATCACTGGAAAGCATGTGTATGATTGCCATCAGGGCACAGACAGGCATGCAGCTGAAAAGCAACTTAGAAAAAATGCCAAGGTGACAAAGAAATACTTAACAGAAGTAGTTTCCTTTTTTTCCATTAAGTTTCTGCTTTGTCATCTTGTGAAAGTGAAACTATAATCTGCCACAATATTGTATGATCATTTTAATCCAAGAAAAATTAATGTACGTAGTACATTTCTATATTGCCTTTAAAGTAATAACTCTTTATATTTTCTACACTTTCCAGAGGGAAATATTTAGTCACAATATATTTAGAATTTCTCTTAAAACACTCTTCTCCATATTTATTTAATGCCCAGTCCCAAAAATTAATGGTCTTCACCAGTAAAGCAAGAAATGTTGTGTGTGATACCAAATTTTTTTTCACACTCTCTGTACCAAAACAGCCACAAAATATTTTTAAAAGAGCATAGGGCCTTCTGATGTATGTTATACAGGAGCTAAATCAGATAGACCTTTTTCTCAGCACCAAAATATTTAATATGCTGTAAGTCTTCTCTTTAGTACAAACAACCATAACATTATTAAGGGACCTCTCAACTATACTGTAAAACAGATAAATCACATGGGCCTTTTTCTCTTAAACTAAAACATAGTTAGTAGAGGGGACTACTAACTATGACTAAAATAACTCCTAAGTTAATTAAGCTTAATTTAATCAGTTTAATTAAATCATTAATAAAAGGGTTCTCTGGTCTTGTTGCTACAAGGGATACAAATCAGATTAGAGGCCCTTTTTCTCAACACCAATTTGAAAGTAACACTGAAGTCTTAACCTTAAATTGACATGGCAGGCCATACAATTATTAAGGGCCCTCTCATCTATGTTACAGGGGAGATAAATCAGAGGGCCCTATTTGTCAAGGCAAAAGAAAAACCCAAGCCAGGAAATCAACAACCAACCTTGCTGACATCCCAATCAGGAAGCATCTTCCATATAATCTAGGAGGATAACCAAAATAACTTTGAAGTCTTGACCTTAACTTAACATGACAGGCCAAACAACTATCAAGGGCCCTCTGATCATGTTACAGGGGAGATAAATCAGAAGGCCCTATTAAGAAACCCTAAGCTAGAAATCTGAAGGCCCCAGAGAAACCCTAAGCTATAAAATTAATAACCTACCTTGCATGTCTTTGCCATCAGTATGCATCTTCTATATAATCTAGGAGGATATTATGGGGCGTAAAGCACGCAAAAGTGCACAAGATTCAATTCATCCCACAAATTAAACACTAGCGACTAAATACAGGAATGGCTCCGACCTGTAATTGGATGATAAAAATAGTAAAAGTCTGTAAAAGTTAATAAGTTACATCTTAACTCCTTACATGTGAGTATTGTTTAACCGTGTGTCTCCAAGCGAAACAGGGAAATATCAATGCGACTGAAAACTCCGATGTGTCAAACAAGAGATGGTTACTTACATAACGAAGAGGAGACCTTCCCCGTTCAGCGATATTCCGGAGAGGACTAAGTCATCTGCTGACTCGTTCCACTACTAAACTGATTTAGTCAGTGCAGACTCAGTTCAGGTGGACGACTAGAAACTGGAGCCATTCCTGTATTTCACCGCTGGCAGCAGGAATGGCTCCGACTCATGCGTTTGTTAATTTTCTTTTTTTTTCTTTTTGGCAAAATCAATTTTAAACTGAAATAAAATCGAAAGAGGTTTTTATTTTAAAATTTCTTCTTAAGTTGAACATTACAATGCTTGTGAATGGAGCCCCCATAAATTAATACAAGGCCATGTGATGTCTAAAGTTTAATGAAGCAACTGCATGTCACGTTTCGAAAATCACGCAATGTTACGTGACGCTCCTACCGATATTTTTAATTTACAGTATGCTCTGCTAGAGAAATGTGGCTTGGCCGCAATCGAGGGAGTTTTCTTCGTGGAACATTGACTGGCAAGAGTACCACATCACCCCATACATTAATTATGCATTCAGACTAGTAGACGTTGTTTTTAAAGTTTTGTCGTGAAAGACAAAGAAGAGGAATGCATAATTAATGTATGGGGTTCTATGGTACTCTTTCCACATTGACTTTCTGGGAAAATTNGCAGAGCATACTGTAAATTAAAAATATCGGTCGGAGCGTCACGTAACATTGCGTGATTTTCGAAACGTGACATGCAGTTGCTTCATTAAACTTTAGACATCACATGGCCTTGTATTAATTTATGGGGCCTCCATTCACAAGCATTGTAATGTTCAACTTAAGAAGAAATTTTAAAATAAAAACCTCTTTCGATTTTATTTCAGTTTAAAATTGATTTTGCCAAAAAGAAAAAAAAAGAAAATTAACAAACGCATGAGTCGGAGCCATTCCTGCTGCCAGCGGTGAAATACAGGAATGGCTCCAGTTTCTAGTCGTCCACCTGAACTGAGTCTGCACTGACTAAATCAGTTTAGTAGTGGAACGAGTCAGCAGATGACTTAGTCCTCTCCGGAATATCGCTGAACGGGGAAGGTCTCCTCTTCGTTATGTAAGTAACCATCTCTTGTTTGACACATCGGAGTTTTCAGTCGCATTGATATTTCCCTGTTTCGCTTGGAGACACACGGTTAAACAATACTCACATGTAAGGAGTTAAGATGTAACTTATTAACTTTTACAGACTTTTACTATTTTTATCATCCAATTACAGGTCGGAGCCATTCCTGTATTTAGTCGCTAGTAAATTAAACCAGCTACGTCATTTTGTCTTTGCCGACAACTACACGAAGGGTCGCACGAAGATGAAATTCGAGGATCGTGACACTCGGTCCCAGTCTCAGAAGGAGGAAGGGCCCTCGGGTCTGTCCCTTCAAGTGACTTCCGCAAATTTCTATAATCTTCGCTGTAAAGATTGCTTTCAGGAATTTGTGATCTCAAGTTAACGAAGAAGAAAGAATGTCATTAATTGGCAAGGATCAATGTGACAACACTCCGGCTCCGACATATCTGTCGTTCTCCACTGCGTCTACATCGATATTTATCACCATCGTTGCTTCCGTTGGAAACTCGTTGGTTGTCCTCGCTGTGTTGTTGAACCCAAACAAAGACCTGCGATCGCCGTTCATCTACTTTTTGGTGAATCTTAGCGTAGCGGATCTCGTCGTTGGACTCGTACTCGGCCCTTTGAGTACAATGTATCACATCTTTGAAGGGCTTAGTATGCTTAACCAAGGTTACAAAGACGCGGTACACATTATTTATTTCACTTCATGTACAGCGTCCCTTTTCAGCTTGATAGCCCTGGCGCTAGATCGCTATCTCGCTATTACGTACCCTCTGCAGTACAGAGCCAAACTTAGCCCCATCAGAGCTTTGTTGATATCCGTTGTGGTATGGATTATCTCCGCTTTGCTCCCAATGGTCTACTTCGCTATCGGCTACAACAAACTTCGCTTTGTATTTGCCAACACTGCTATAGCTATCACCTTTGCAGTCCTGATTTTCACCACTGTCAAGATTTTCAAATATTTGCGATGCCAAGTACAGCAATGGGACAGTTTGCATGACAGCTCAGATGAGAATTTAGCCTTGAAACGAGCGATGAAGTGGGAAACTAAAATAACCAAGACACTGGTTATCGTACTAATACTATTTTTAGCCTTTTACCTGCCTTCATGTATTTGTATCTATATCATTAACTTTTGTACCAGTTGCGATTGTGTGTTTATTCATTGGGTTAGAGATATCCAGTTTGTTCTTGTGATGGCCAATTCAGGAGTAAATCCTTTCGTGTACGCGTGGAGATTGGAAAATTTCCGCAAAGCTTTCAAGAACATCTCAACCTGCCATGCGTGTTTAAGGCGACTGAGGTCAGTCTCGCGTTTAAATTTACAATTGTCGTCTGTAAGCACAGACGTCTCCTCTTACAATCCCACAGGACAAGCTGGCAATCCAGAAGAAATAAACCAGGCTAATGAAAACTGTATAATTTCAAAATGTAATACACAACCACAGGGTGTGTAAGACGTTGAGTCTTGGTGTAACTTGATTTATGTCTTATGAAGATATCTTAATAAACATGCACAAAGTTATGATTTATATTTGGCAAACAATAATTTAGGACGATCTAGCTCTACATATTGTTGACACTTTTTTCATCTTCTTATGAGTTTGACTAATGTTCGTGGGTCGGGGGTACAAGTCGTGAGTCGTGGGTGTGGGTGTGGGTGTGGGTAAGAGTCGTGGGTGTGGTTAATACTTAATAATAAAAATAACCATTTAAAATATTAAATATAATAATACATAAATTTTATACAACCCTGTCATTCATTAATTTAACTG